TCACAGGGGTCGCCTAAGACCATCCTGCATATCAGATATTTACATTACAATTCATAACAGTAGCAACATTACAGTTATGAAGTAGCAATGAAAATAATTTTATGGTTGGGTCACAACGTGAGGAACTGTATTTAAAGGGCCAGAAAGTTGAGAACCACTGCCTTAGCACTAAAATTTAATTCATTCTATTCTTGCAAACTAACTTTAATCTTGAAACGATATATCGCCTTTAATTCATTAAAGATTACAAATATTTTATTTTTATTTATATCACTTAAGGTAACCTTTCATTTAAATAATCAAATTCCACATTCACAGATATAAACACAAACAGCTCTATCACCACAGTTGGCAGACGCAAAGGAAACTAAGCATTATCAGGCGTATTGCCTTTCAAACTTGAACACGCGTCTTTTGTAGCTTCTTCCTAAATTCCTTGTTATAATCTGGAGATTAGCAATGACAGGACACTGATTGCTTTCTTCCTTCTCACTTTAACACTACAAATAACACAGCCTGTGGTGTTGATGAAGATGCTCAGAGCTAAGTGGACCAAAAGAATGGGCTTACCTGTTGCCTATATAGTGAGAGTTTGCCTTCAATTGGCTCATTTCTCAACATTTTCTTTTCAATCAGCTGATTGATCTGTGTATTTATTTCATTTATCTAAAACAGTATGAAAATAAAAAAGGTTAAGTCTCTCCCTATGATTACACAAAGTAAGGGACAACTGGCCCAGCCAAGCTTTGAATTTATAGTTCTTATCATCAGTGATTAGATGGTTCCATTAATGTTATGAGTGGGTTGTTACGATTACTTTTAGAAATAATGAACACTTCGTGGTTCATGATAAATATTTACACAGTATTATTACTTACATGGATTTAACCATCCATGTCTAAATTATCCTAAAGTATTCAGCATGAAATATTTATACATTCTTATAAAAAAGAATTTTTTAAAATCTAAAGTTATCCCCTCTTCTAGATTGTGACTTTCAAGTCACTGAAAGTGATAAAATCCAGACTAACATTCCATAGGGATTTTATAAGGAATTCATGAACCCAGCTGAGAACTGACATGGATGACATCTAAAAACCTTCCTGTTCAAATGATCTGTGGTTCTCCCATAGCAGTCATTTATTCCACTCATTAATCCAAACCTTTCCCAATGTAATAAAACTGACTAAGCCCACAGAAGCATATAGTCCCTCAACAAATTTAAAAAATTACATGATTTTCAGTATATCTGTCTATCCTCTGAAAAAAACTAGAGTTCCCTGGTTAATTCTATGACATTAAATTTGAGCCAAATCTGGCTTGGCCATCTAATTTCTATAAGAAAATTAAAAGAATAAAATGATCAAAATTATGTATTTAGTTGTAGTGGCTGTTGAGCAAATCAAAGGATCAGCAAATCAAAACGGTTCAATTTTCATGATATTTGGTATTTTTTTTAAAAATACACATCTGATTAGTGTTTTGTTTCTAGGGAGCAAAAGTGTTATGATATGATAGCAGGTTTCAATGAGAATTACAAAAAAATTTAGCAATTCCAAAGCTGGTATAAAAGGCTAATAAATATATTAGGCTTTAAATATAAAATTGCTACAATATTATTCTTGGAAACAAAAATTACTGATATTTAAAAGTTGTCATCTTGTTATTATGAATACATTATATTAGCCAATTATATATTATGAATACATAAACCTATGAGTCTATCATATGCATTAATTTAGATATCCAAGTTACTTAGTTTCCTAATCAACTGACTAGGTTTTCATAAATCATGTATTATAAGTAACAGCATTACATGCTGTAACTTCTCATACAGAGCAACTCCTCATAAGAGCTATCAGCTCTTAGGGCGGGCTAACTTAAGAGCCAAGAGTTGGACACTATAGAAAGCAGTTCACATACTTTTCATAGGACTAAGGATGAGATAAAATTGGAAACTATGAAAAAATAATTGTCACTTACTTTAGATTCAAGTTCAAGAAGATCAGAATGGCCCATAGCAGGCTCTGACACCACTTTTTGTAAAAAATGCAATTCTTTTTTCTTGTTCTCTAATTCTTTAGGAAATTTTTCAGTTACCATATATGAATTAAACTTTATCTCCTCCTCTAGTCTCTTCATTAAGCCTTTGAAAAGAAAATAAATGAATGTTCAGCCCAAGAGAATAGGTACAGTGACATTCTGTATACTTTAAAATATAAGACCTGGCCCTAGCTGGTTTGGCTCAGTGGATAGAGCATTGGCCTGCATACTGAAGAGTCTCTCAGGTTTGATTCTAATCAAGGGCAAATGCATGGGTTGTGGGCTCAATCCCCAATAAGGGGCATACAAGAAGCAACCAATCAATGATTCTCTCTCATCATCGATGTTTCTATCTCTCTCTTCCTCTCTTAAATCAATAAAAATATATTTTTTAAAAAAGATCTGTATAGTAGGGCATATTTGTCAAAATACCTAGTATATCTACCTGTATAATATCATATCCGTGTATAAAATTTAGTACCATAATAGATTGGCCATTGAAGTCTTTTGCTAATCTACACTAATAAAAGAGAAAGATGCAAACTGACTGTACCTTTGTTATGCCCACCAGCCAGTCAGGAGTGAGTATGCAAATTAACCCAACAAAGATGGTGGGTTAATTTGCATACGCAAGCATTGAGTGGCCGGGGGTGGGTGGGACGCTTGCCTCATCGCCATGGCGACGACGAGCGTTCCGC